TTCACTTTGGAAGAAATATATATATATTATAAATGAATACATTAAATTAATTGCTCCAGAATATTTGTTGGCCTCATTCTAATTCTTAGACTATCTATATACTGAAAAATAAACAAGAGATAGTAACTTTGTTTTACGACTACCTCTCACTTTTTGTGTTCGAATTGTTTCTCTATAACCCCACAGGGTTGTGATTGTGCCTTTATAATGATTTATTTCTAAAGCTTAAATGTTGAGTTTTAATAGCCTGACAATTATCACCAATTTCCATACATCGATAAGTTTTCTAAAATTTTTTTAAATGTCTCATTAGCTATTTTGGTCATTATGAAGGTGAAAATTGCCTTATTTCATTGTTCAATTTGCTTTTTTTTCTAGAAATTTTTTTAAATGTACTTTTGCATATATATAACCATACTTGGAAACACATGAATAAAGTAATTTTTTATTTGTCCTGTACAGATTTGTGTGAAAACAACTCTTTTCTAGGTCTAAAACCATAGAAAGTTTAAGTGAGCTTGCTGTTTCTGTTGAAAATATAAGAAATCATAAATATAATGATTAATCACCAAAATTCCCACAGAGAAAGAGACAGTATTTCTAGGAGTACTTACAAATTGGATGCTTAGGGTGGGAGATAAGTTCCTGGAAAGGCCTGAATGTGAGCTGAGCAGTTTCATGCAAGACAAAAGAATACAGTTGAGCCCTGATGGCGCAGTGGTTAAAGTGATCAACTGCTAACCAAAATGTAGATGGTTTGTAACTACCAGCCACTCCGTGGGAGCAATGATGTAGCAGTCTGCTTCCACAGAGATTTACAGACTTGGAAACCCTCTGGGGTCTCTATGAGTCAGAATTGACTCAGTGGCAGTGGATTTGGTTTTGTTTTTATAGAGAACAGTGAGAAACATGAAGAAGGGAGAAGAAGCAAGACGGTTGAAGGTTACCGCATTGCAGCATGACCTCACCTTGTGATCCTTTCATCTCAACTCCATTCCAATTCTTGAGTAATCTTATTAAATTAACTAAACTAGCTAAATGCTTGCCTACAAATAGGATTTTAGTATTGCATCTTATTTATTTACTTATGCAGAAACTTGCTGCATTTTGGAGGAGCCTACTTGAGGGTATAGGACTTATGAATATAAGAGAGAATTGAAGCAACCTGCTCAAAAACCTACAGCTGGAAACTGGAGAGACCTACACTCGCACCCAGTTTGGCCTCACGTGAAGTTCACTAGCATCCAAAAACCCCAGGATTCACAAAATTCTCAGAGAAGACACTTAACTCTCACAGGGCAGGAGAAGTGAAATTTGAAATAAATTTTATCAGATTTCCATGGACAAAGGGTCTTAACTGATATGGGAGGGGTATATATCACAATTTAAAGTAGTGAAATAATGGCCAAAAGTAGATAATTTTAGACTGTCAGTCGTTTTACCCATAAGAACACAGAAGAGTAAGGAAGTTAAGGTACTTGCCCACAGTAAGCATTCAAACTTGTTTTCAACTCTTTAAAATCTATATTAATGCTATAGTATTCATGTATTTACTCTCTGATCTAGCAAGTAATGAGAGAAATGAATTTACCACAGTGATAGTGACTTGTCTATTTATCCTTGTAGTTCTATAAATTTTGCTTTAAATATTTTGAAGCTACTTTTTTAAAGGCGCATTTAAGTTTAGAATTGTTACATCTTTACATGAATTGAATCTTTTATCATTATGCAGTGACTCTCCAACTCTAGTAATGATTTTTGCCTTAAAGTCATTTTGCCTATATTAATCTGCTGATATTGACTCTTTTTTGGCTGGAAGAGTTCATATATATATATATATTCTTTGACTATTTAAATTTCAATTGCTTATAGCCCTTTTCTTTTATATATATACATATTTTTAATCCACCTAATAATCTTTGTCTTTTAGATTAAACATGTGGCTCATTTACATTTATTGTAATTAGTTAGATGTTTAATTTATTATTATTGTTTTGTGTATTTTATTTGCCCTACTTCTATATTTTTCCTCTTCTTTCTTGCCTTCTATTTCATTGATTAGTTTTTCTCATTTCATTTTTTCCTCTAATAATTCTAATAATTTAAAGGTCATGTACACTGTTTCTTATTCTTTAATGGTGATCCTAGATTTATGCATGTATACTTATCAAATTCTATAATTAATCAGTATGCTTTCCCTCATTCAGAAAAATTCAAGGACATTTCAACACTTTAAGTCTGATTACCCCTTTTAACATAGATGTCTAGTTCAGTAATTTTAGACTTATTGTTCTGTATTTATTCTAGAATACATTACTATGATTGTTTTATATAGTCAGTACTTGTTTATGTTTGCCCATATATTTACCAGTTTCTTTGATCATTCTCTCTTTGATCTTTGACCTTTCACCTGAACTCAATCATCTTTCTGTTGTCTGAACTACATCCTTCAGAATTTCTTTGAGTGAGAGTCTGTCTTTGGCTAAGTCTCTCATTTTATTTTTGGTCTGAAAATATCTGTATTTAGCTCACTAGAAAGATATTTTTTCTAGGTATATAATTCTAGGATGATTCTTATGTTCTCTTGATGCATTGAAAATATTATTTCACTGTATCATGACTTCTTAGCTCTATGTTGAGGTAATTAGTCCTTTCAGCTTCTCTCTCTGAAAAACTGGGCATGTGTGTAGGGAGGGGTCCCATCACTCCCCACTCTACAACGTCAGGAAATTCCTGTCCAAAATTTCTGGGGTTGTGCAAATGCCTTCAGGGCAAAGCTGACTTTAGGGCTCTGCTTTCCTTTTTAGGTTCCTGCTTTCACTTAGTTTTTGGACTCTGAGTATTCCTTATTTTCTTGCCAGCACATCAGTGCATGTTACAAGTTGTGTTTTAGAATTTATCCATCATTTTTATTTGTTTTTAACACAAAATCAGTCAGAATATCTGGTATGCCATTCCTTAGGAATTAAAAAAAAAAAAAAAGTACACTGATTTATCCCTCATTTAAAAGAGAAAGAAAGAGGAGAGTTTTTCTTTTTCTGTTATTATAATTCTGTTTTGAAAGTAGAGAAACTAGTTTGGACCATTTGTTGTCTCTTATGTAAGCATGGCTTACCTAACATCAGCAGCAGCTTTGGTGACGAAAAGATGTCAAGCACCTTTAGAACTGCATATGAAATATTGGTAATTATGTATCATGGCATTGGTTACGCAGGGTCAGCAGTGCTGATTATGGATTTAGTAGTGTGAGAGTCTTGGAAAGTTCCTTTCAGTTACCAGCCACTTAGTGTTTGTGCTGCACAAACTAAAGAATACGTGACTGAAAGCATAGGGAAACTGATACTAGTTTACTTTAGAGTTATCTAGGGGAAATGAGAGTGACTAAGAGATTGAAAACTATAAAAGATTTAGCACAGGACTAATAATAAATGCTAGTCCCTATTGCTGCATCTATGGAAAACATCACTAATCCGGTCACAGCACACCCTCCCCTGGAAACAAGAAGATGTCTCAGAATCCTTCAGAAACGTCTCTATATTTTTGGCCTACAATGCCAAACAATCAGAATAGGCAGGCAAGATGAAAACTACCAGCATAATAACAGTTTAGGATAAATTGTGTCTCCGTTCTTCCATTTTTCAACAGGGATGTTGTTAGCAACAATAGGTGCAGTGGGGAGATAGAATCCTTTCAATTTTCTGACTTAAGTCTTTTGGAAGCTTTTTTACCTGTGATCACCCACGTTAATGCTATACAAAGTAACTGTAATTTACTATAAAGCAACCCCACAAGTAACAGTGAAAAACGAAGGCCTATTAACAGCCTCTTCCAAATATAGAATTTTACTATCAAATTCTACACTTTGATCCAGATTTGGAAATAAATGCATTAAGAGACTTTCAAATTATAGTAGTTTTTTTTTTTTTTTTTCCTTCTCCTTCTTTTTATATACAATGAGAGCAATGTCTATCGACTTGAAGGAAAAAGATTGCAATTCCACCATTTGGGGCTTTGCTCCAGCTATTCACTTTGCCTATTGGCTCCTATTCCAGATCTTTACATGATTTATTTCTTCTCATCCTTCAGTTATTCGTTTAAATGTTACCTCCTCAAGGTCTTCTCTGATTATCTAAAGTAGTTTTCACCACCAACAATACATTCTCTAGGCATTTATCCTCTTTATTCACTTTATGGCAAGTAGTTATTTTGTTGCTGTTGTTTGTTTTTTTAATGCTTGTATAAGTTCTGAGAGGTCAGGACTTTCATTGTCTTGCTTATCATAGAATCCTTGGCATCTACAACAGTGCTTAATAGAAAGTAGTTACTCGACATTTATGAAAGAATTTATATGAGTGAGAAATATGTTAAAGAATACCACTTGTTGTATAATTTTGACTGATGAAGTTAATTTTGTAAAGGGATTTTTTTTTTTACTCTCATGGTAATGATATGAAGGGACCCCATTTCTCTGTAACGGAAAATATTTAGGAGCTTAAATTTAAAAAAAAAAAATGTAGCAGTTGGGTGAACAGACACATGAGCCTGGGTTTGAATCTCAGTTTTGCCACTTACTAGCTGTGAGACCTTGAGAAAGGTACTCAACCTTCCTGTTCCTCAGTTTCCTTATCTATAAAATGATAACAAAATGAAGACAACAGAATCAGAAGAGTAAATAAGTTAATGTGTGAAAAACATTTAAAATAGTACCTGTTCTTAGGAGGCATTCTGTAAAAGTTATCTATTGACATTGTATACAAAATTACTGTAAAAACACATTATGGGCATGCTCAGTTAACCTTTTATAACTTTCTTCATCTATCAGGAGAAAATAAGAATATCTACCTCATAGGATCACTGTGAGGATGAAATGTAAAATGTTTAAAATAAGGCCTGGAACATGTAATCTTCATAACTGTAGCTCTTATTAGTATACACATTTTTCTCAAGTGATTTTTATTTACTCATTTACTCTCTCTGTTCTCTATTGTTCTGTATTCCAGTCTGTGATCTTCATTCGTGACAGAAATTCTCATGGGCAGGAGGTGTCAGGATACATTGACTATGCCCACAGGCTAAAGATTGAAGATTTTGAAGTCTACTTTAGTGGGAAAAAAAGACTTCTTCCAAAGCCCACAGATCTGAGGTAAATTGTATGGATTTTCTCACACCGTTAATAAGAGAATAAGCTCCTAAGAAGCAAGGATGAAGGAGTTTTATTTTATGTTCTATATTGTGCCTAGAATGCTAATTTATGTATAGTAGGAATGTGGCAAGATTGATTATAAGTAAAATAAATACATACATTTTCAAATAAGGAATGAGTATAGATGCATTTTCACTTTAACACCCTGAGGAAGGAATATTTTCAGAGACAAGATACAAGTAAATTCTCAGAAACATTCCTTTTAAATGATAAGTAAAGCCTATAAACTGCTAACCTCATAAGTCTCTTGTACCACTTGGGACTTAGTCTGACTAGAAATCTCTAGAGCAGTCCATCTAACACTTTCTCCTCCCACTTTTCTTTGGCCACCTGCCAAGGTGCTGGCCTCTGGCCAGCTCACCCTCATTTTCTCTCATCACTGTCCTTTTCTGAGATTCCTTTCTACCCATCACTCTTGTTACTATTGACCCCTTATCCTTTCCTCTGGAACCCTCATCCCATCACATAGGATCTACTGTATACTACCAATCTATTCACAGATTGATCCTCATAACCCCTTCTGAAGAGCTCTCAAACTAAAACTTTTTATTCTGTTACATCTCACTTATCACAGAGCCCAAAAGTAGAGACAGCATTCTGCCTTAACTCTCTATTGCTGTCTCCAGATCATTATTTGACACTTGTAGTGACACTCCAGTCCTCTGAAGTCCCTTCCACCCCTTATCCATCCTCACTACTATCATCTGAAAATTTCCTATCCATCACCACTTTAGTGGAATCACCATTTTTCCTATCCAAGTTAGACACATGGCATATCATTTAACTTCTCTCCCTGGCAGAAATCCCTACTCTCCGTATCTTCTTGTTTGTAATTACATCTGTCATTCTAATTCCCTCAAATAGATTGATCCACATACCCTTTTCTCTGCACCAGTAGCTGAATACCTGAGCGCTGCTGAATGAAATTTCTCAAAAGTGCTAATGGTTGCTACTAATAGTTTGTGGTTTCCAACCTCAGCTGGGCCCTTTGTGGTGCTCAGCCAGTCTCTGTGCTTTCTCAACTTCCACTTCCACCCCCACCCCAAATAATATTTAAAACTTTGCCACTCTCTTATATTCCTTTTTTTCCAACGGCTGACCTCTCTCAATGTATGATTTGCCTAATATTTCACAGAGAATATCGGGTCTAAACATGAAAACTACCAACTGACCTGTCTTTCTGTCAACCTTTCTTGTTGGCCAAAGCCTCCTCCAGAGTGCCTTTCTGATTAGTTCCAGTCACAGTTCCACCCCGCCAGCCACTGGCCCCTCAGCTAGCTATCTACACTCAGAAGGGTGGTGTTCCTGACAGTAGAACACCACTGCCATCTTGTCCTTCATCCCTCCTCTCTGAGGGTCATTTTGCTGCAAACTTGGACGCATTCTCCCAACACAGTAAGGCTCAGGCTTTCCCCAAGAACCACAAGGAAATGTTTGACGTAAGAGTTACTAAGGATTTTCTCATAATTTTTCTGAAACAAAATAGGTCTGATCCAGGTGGTTGCACTCTGTCTTTAGAAACAGTTTCTCCTTGAAAAAAAAAAAGTTATTTCTTACTAAGTGAATATTCCTCTATGAATGCATTTACCATGTTTAGAGCAGAAAGGATTCCTTGTCTGTTTGGTGCTAATTTATCCAAACTTGGTTTTGATGCTTTCCACTCCCCTTTCCATCGAAGCCATACTTCATCAGTTGTTCCCTTTTTTTTTGTAGATTTTCAAGCTATCGTTTTATATTGGCTCCTTTATCTTGCCACACCTTTCCTCTAAACATGCTGAAGCCATTTATATTAAAGAAAGGAAATCTATTCTGTACTCCAATTATTGCTCTATCTCTCCTTTACTTTTCAGCTAAGCTCCACAAAACAAGTGTCTTCAATTCTCACTTCTCATGCAGGCTTCAATTCATTATAATTAGACTTCTGACCCCATTGTTCAAATGAAACTACTCCTTCTAAAACCAACAATGACTGCCAATTTCAAAATCCTAAGAAATTATTTTCAGTTATCATCTTACGTAAATTTTCTACCTCATTTGATTAATCATAATATTGATTAATCCGTTCTTCTGTGAACTATGCAAACACTCTAACCTTTTATACACAGAATCCCTCATTGAACTCTCCACTTGTTTATCTCCTAAGTATTGGTATTCACTAAAGTTCATCTTTGGACTTTTTTTCTTACTATATACATTCTCCTAGGTCATTTGATCATTCTTCTGAAGTTGAGTTGTTTTCACAACTACAAATACAGCACAGATCTCTTTTTTATTTCAACTCAATTATACTACTTTCCCTACAGAGAACCTTCTAGGGGTCCCACTAACACTTAAAGCTTATGTTCAAAATTAAACTTTTCTATTTCCCAAAGCATACTGTTACTTCTGTATCCTCTGTGATGGCAAATGGCACCACCCTTGCAAAAGAAGGCAAAATCCAGATGTTATTCTAAACCCCTTGCTCTCTAACACCACCCTGTAACTATTGATTCATTCAAAAACACTAGATATTATTACCTTCACAGGTTTTTTATGCTAAAGTAAATACAAGATATGTCATTTCACCTGTAAACACTTCAGTGAGCATCTTTAACATATAACATTAAAGACAGTAACCATCATGACATTATCATACCTGACAAAATAATTTCTTAATATCATCTAATCTCTAGTCCTTATTCATATTTTATCTATTGTCTGAAAGTTACCTTTTTAAACTTAGTTTGTTAAAATCAAAATCTGTACAAGATTGTGTTATGTATTCTATCTCTGGAAACTTTTTTTTATAACAGTTTCTCCTTTTTTTGAATCTTCTATGCTGTTAGTTTGTTAGAGAAACCAAGTTATTTGTGCTAAGAAATGTCTTAAGTTCTTAAATTGATTAATCAATCCCATGATGTTGTTATGCTCCACCTCTGATCACCTATTTCTTATAAATTGACTTGATTAAATTCAGTTTTCCAATTTTTTTTTAGGTAAGAATTTTTACTATGTGGTGCTCTAAAGTACCTATTGAGCCAATTTTAGAAATTATACCAATTGATCGATGTGTTTAGATGGTGTCAGTCTGATCACTCCATTGTAACGTTCTCATGAAGTTTTACCCAATACTTTTTTACTAATTTTCCTTTAGTGAAAATTGCCTAAATATGTTTACTAAGGTTTGCAAAATGGTAATTTTCTAATTCTGTCATTCATTCTGCATATAATAGCTGGAATTATTCCGTAGAGAATAACTTTTCCTCATCACTTATTTAATAACCCTGAAATGCAATTCATGCAGATAGACAAAATAAATATTTTATTTCCCTTAATTTATGAAAAAGAAGTAAAGTCAAAAGAGCAAAAGAACATACAAGATAATGCCAAATTGTTTTTCAAAGGGGTCATACCAATTTATCCATCCACTGGCAGTGATAAATGATCTGTTAGCTCTCATTCTAAACAACATTTGATGTTATCATTTTTTTTTTTTTTTCTACTCTGGTGAGTATAAATGATCCTCATTGTGGTTTTAATTTTACTTTCCATGATTTTTAATCAGGTTAGGCATTTTTTACCGGCGGTTCAAATTTCATTTCTATGAAGTACCTATTAAGACTTTAGCCAATTTTCTCTATTGAGTTATTTGTCTTTTCCTTGCAGATTGTAGGAATTCTTCTTATTTATTTTAGAAATTGTCTGTTTGTCTGTTATATGTTTTGAAAAATACCATCTTCCAGTGAATCATTCTCTTCTCATTTTCTTTACTTTCACTTTTTTTTTTCCCCAGGCTTCTGACCTAATGTTTATTTTAACATTACTCGTTTAGGACAGGAACCACAAGATATCTCAGCTTTCGTAAGGGTTATAATATCCCATAACTTTCAGTCAACACAGGGTATCCACTAGTATTTTCTCTCCTGCCCCTACTTTTCTTTGCCTAGGTCCATGGCCGGCTAAGTTGCTCCTAAGTTTTGGAGTGCAGGGCCTCTTATCCAAGATGGAAGTTCAGCCTTCTTTCTGACTCTATAATTCATTTTGTCACATCCCCCCTGAAGTGACACAAAATGCATCCAGCTTCTCACAAGGTGTCTCAGAAAAGCAATTTTTTCATCTTTTGCGAGCATTAGCACAGCTAAACACACACATCTACAAAAACAAGTAATGGTTTGCAGGCATAGTATGGTCTAAATTCATTCTTTAAAGAAAATTTTGATAAAGAAAATCCAGTCTGAAGGATTTAGCATGACAGTTGAGGGTTTTGCTGTGACACAAGGCAGACAGGTTTGCATTGACTTTTGATGATTAAAGTTCTAATTTTAATGCATTTTATTAATATTTTCCTCTGTGATTTGCACTTTTTGTGTTTTGTTTAATAAATTCCTATATTTCCTGAGGTCATAGAGATATTTTCTTACAGATAATTACAGTTTTGCTTTTTATCTTATATAGTTAATCTATCTGGAATTAATATTGTTTATGATGATTAGATAAAGGTCCACTTTTTAATTTTGTTTTTTCCATATGACTAAGCATTTATAGCAACATTTATTGATAAGTCCACCATTTCCTTCTATTTGCAACACAATGTCTGTCATAAATCAAGCCCTATATTTCTGTGGGTTTGTTTCTGGGCTCACTCTTCTTTTTTGTTCATCTCTCCCTGAATAGAATCTGGCTTATTTGTGATATTTTCATAATAATTATACTTGAAATAAAGAAAGGCAATTCCCTCATCTTGTTTTTCTTCTTCAGGAGTGTCTTGACTATGTTTGCCCTTTACTCTTCCATATAAATTTTAAAGTCAGTCTGCAATGTTTCACCAAAAAAAAGTTGTGAATTGTAATTGGAATTTATTTGAAGTCATGATCATGTATTTAATTGACATCATTATATTGCGTCTTCCTCTCTGTAAACATGTTATAGCTTTGCATTTACTTATACTTTCTTCCAAGACA